AGGCCACTGCTGCTGCTAAGAGTAGATGTGGCACTGAGGGACATAGTGGGCATGGCGGGGATGGGTTGGGGTTGGACTTGGTGACCTTAGGGGTCTTTTCCAATTGTAATGATTCTTTGAGTTGGTATGGTGGGGATGGGTTGAAGCTTGTTGGTATGGTGGGGATGGGTTGAAGCTGAAGGACTTGATGATCCTGGTGGTCTTTTCCAACCTTGCTGATTCTATCATTCTGTGATTCAAACCATGAGATTCCAGGGTGCCCAAAAAGCACCAGGATGGGAAGGAACAGGGCAAGAGGAACCTCAGCAGAATGGAGAGCTGCTGCACACAGAAGGCATGGCCACTTCTGCCACCAACATGGCTTAATGGGCATGGTGGGGATGGGTTGGGGATGGGCTTGTTGGTCTTGGAAGTCTTTTCCAACCTTAATGATCCTATGGTTCAACGAGGGGTCGGGGAGGCTAACAGAGGTCTATGCCATTAGCACAAGTGGCACCGATGCTGCAGAAGGTTTTTAGGGACAACAGCATCCCCAGACTAAAGCCTTATCCTGAGTTTTCTTTAAAAGATGCCTCTCAGCACATCTCCTGGCAGCAGCCCCTTTCTGAGGCCTTCCCTATCAATATTCCCTTTGAATTCCCTTGTGTACATCTCCACCTGGGAACACTTCCTGGCAGAGAGACGGGGCTCCCAGCTGCGGGGGAAGGATTTCTCCTTGCAGTGCCTTCTCCCTGGAACATCCCCAGTGCTGCACCTCAGCTACAGTTGTGTGATGCCAGTAGCCTCCGAGCTCAGCTTCTGCCTCGGAGGTCATAATTGCCATTAAATCACAGCTTGCCTAACCAAATTATGCAAAACCGAAATTATCTCCAATGATTTTTATGTTGCTGAAATGTTCCAGAACTGCTGGGGTGATGGCTGGGGGATTGGGAGCAGCTGTCACTCCATCAGAAACCATAACTCCAAACAGCTGGGATCTGTCAGTTATTTATGACACCGTTTGCAAAAAAAAAAAAAATAATAATAATAGTGATAATAATAATAAAAAAAAATGAGGGAAGTGGATGGGTGGTTGTTGTTCTCTGGCTGAAAGACAGTTCTACCGCATGCCGATGCTGGAGGGAGCAAAGGCAATGAGGATGCCAATGGAACGCTTTGCACAGAGGCTGGAAGGAAGCTGCTGCTCGCCAGGGGAATTTGATCTTTGTCACAGCCAGGGATGGTTTGTTTATTGCAAAAGAAAAAAAAAAAAGAAGGAAAAAAATAGGCAGCTCCCAACCACAAGTCTGACACTGCTGTGTCGAACTGTCCCAGATCTGAACTGCGCTCTCAGCTCGCGCCCCGTGGCGCTCTGTGCTCAGGCATTGCCTTTCGTCGTCCTTCAGCTGGTGTGTGGAATTATGAACATTTGAGGCTCCTTTTTCCCCCCAAACAAATTTGTCATGGTGAGAAAGTTCGTTTCTGAAGTGGGGGGGGGGGGAGGGAACTTTGTCGCAGTTGCACACAGTACCAAGAGCACTGTTTGAGCCTGATTCGCCAAGAAAGGTTGGGTGGATGATGGCAATTCCTGCCATCACAAAAGGGAGTAAGAAGTGTGAGGCAAAGAACCGTGTGACGGTTGGGTTATCCAACGAGAATCCTCCACAGACCCATCCTGCTATGGTTTGTCCAATGCAGGGGGTGGCTGAGGTGAGCTGGTGATGGCAGTGGCTCCTCGGAATGACATTTGTCCTCATGGAAGGACGTAGCCCATGAAAGTGGGTGCTATTAGGAGGAGGATGGAAGTTTTGAAGTGTATTTTCCCCTCGGGTCACAGTTGTATTGTTGTGGCCCAGTGACAACTTAAAAAGCACCTTTGAAAGGTGTGGGTGCAGATGGGGCAGGAAGATCTCTCTGTCTACAGGTGGTGCTACACAAAGTGCAAATTTGGCTTCAGAGGAGTGAGTGATGAGCGAGCTTCTGCCTCTTTGATAACACAGAGTGCGAACAGAAGGCAGATGCTTTGTCCCCACTTGTAGCTTGCTCTGGTTAAGTATTATTATTTATATTATGTAGTAGCTATACATAGTGTTTTATGGCAGTAAAGACCCATAAATCAGCAGCCAGAAGATGAGGGCTTTGCTCTAAAGAGCTTATAAATCTAACAGCCTGGGCAGAACCGGTAATGGACGCAGCGAGCAGTCGGACAAGTTGCGTGGAGACATGAGCTAAGATTGGGCTCCCCAGGCAGATGGCGGTTTAGGAGAGATTTGAGAGAACTCCATCCCAAAGAGCAGATCCTGCTGGGGGAGCGGCAGCCGTGACCCACATAGCAGAGAGGTGAAATGTTGGGGCTGGAGGTGACCCATCAGGGCCAGTCCTACCTCCCAGCTCCAAGCTGGGGACTTCTGATGGAAATAAGAGGCACTGCTCCTTCAGCAAAGCGTTAAAATGCTGGGATGTCGGGTGCCAGCATCTCTGCTGCTGCGCTGGAGCGTTGCTGTGTCTGGATGAACTCGCTGTCTCTGGGCATCTGCATTCTTCTGGCCGTTTCGGCTCTTGCACAAATGAAGGCTTCATGCTAAATGCATTACGCTGTATAACAATTAATCCCACGCTGCATATAGAAAGTCCTTACTCATCAATAATGCATTCAGGAGGAGTGATTTTCACTCTCAGTAATAAGGCTAAGACAATGGAAACAAGCAGGTAATGGGGAACATTTATAACGATGTTAATCTAATAACGGGTATAATGCTGTTAAAAGTAAGACTGCAAACTGGACACATCCAAAGATAAATTATTTCAAGCATTCATTAACTAATGCCTAATTAATGCCCAATTAGAGAGATGCTGCATGGGAAATGATTTGGACAGCCCGATGAATTCATTCCCATCACTAAAACCTGAGCTGGGAGGCTGCAGAAGGACAGCGGAGCCGGGTGACACAGCACGGCGGTGGGAGAACGCCGGCAGACAAACACGGCCGTGTTGGTTTGATCCGTGTCGACAAAGCTTTGGTTCTGCTCACTTCACTGGCAGCTTTCCATCGGATTTTTACTTTTTGAAGCTCTCCCTCCCTGGTGAGCAGCGCCACGCACACCCGTGACCCTCCATCTGCTGCACAGCCTTTACAAGATGCAGTCAAAAGGTTTGCACTGGGAAGAGCTTGACATGTTGGCTGCAATCAGACACTGGGGGAGCTCAGGGGTATCATCCCAGGAGGGACAGTCCCACTGATGGCAGCCAGGGACCCAGGTGGCCCCAGCTGCCTTAGCTATCACGCAGCTGGTCCAGCAGCATCAGGGCTGCTCTGTTCTTTCGTTCAAGGGATCTCATCCCCATATCAAAATGGCAACCAAACCTGGACGTCCTGGAGCATCTCATAGCAGTGTGCAATTTGCAGGTCTGTGGGCTGCGGACTCATCCCTGATGGGACCACACACCCTGAGCACATCTGCTGAGGAGGATTCCTCTTTCCAAGTCCTGCTCACCACGTTATCGCTGCTTCTGAGCATCCTTCCTTTTTGTTTCCACATTCTCTCTGTCTCCAAACTGCAGCCTGTAGGTAGGACGAAATCCCTGGCCTTCCCTCCTACCATCTTTCCTGCTGGAAGAGGAGAACCACCGGCAACACCCATCCCAAAGGAATCAACTCCTCTTCCATTGGCACTTCGGCCATTAACTGACACCTTTAATTAAAGATACAAGCTCAGATCCTCCTGCCCTTCACCTCCAGAGCCATCGGGGACCGTGAATCTCCATTCTCCCTTCCAACAGTGCAGCTCCTTGCTCCCCATACATCCCATCCATCGCTGAGCATCGCTGGCAGCCGCCTGCCATCACCTCCTAGACGTGAAATTCGGGATGCTACGCAAGCCCTGCCCAGCTCCTCCTCCCACCAGTAATCCTGTTAGCCTGGCAACTATCGTGTCACGGAACAGCGCATAAAACCAGCACTGGGAAGCAATATGTAATCTTCCAACCTGCTGCTCATAGCTGGGAGATGGTTTATTGATTCAAACCCTTGTGATTTGGTATTTGCAATAACAGACTCCGCATGTGGGAGATTGTCACTGTGCTTGTGCTTGGCAGGATTTTACTAATAAATATAAGAGCTACACGACTCTTTGTGGCTCAGTGTGACTCGGGTGGAGCTGGGAACACAGAGCTGTCCCACCTCAGCAGAGTGTATCTGTGGGTTATAAAGGAACAAGAAGAGCAGAAAGCAATTCTGCACCTATCTGCAACTGTAATCAGGATATCCCTGAGACTAGCACCAGAGAGGTGCTTGGCTGGAAATGCAGGGCAGCCCAGGAGCAGTCTTGCCTGAATCATTGCCCCTTGCCCCATGGCAAGTGCACGGTGGTGGCTTGGAGAACATTCCCTTTCCTACACAGCCGTAGGAGTTGTTGCGGATGAAGCACTCCTGACTACAGCCCTTTTCTGGCAGCAGTGCAGGAATGAGCCATCCCTCCCTGCAGCCTTCATTCCTGCAGGGTAGAGCCTGTAGAAGGCCCAAATCCCCATCTGTATTTCTATCCCCATTGCTATCCCCATCCCAGCAGAGGCTTGGCCCAACAGTTTGGCTAGCATTGCTATTCTTTGGAAAAAGTAGAGCAGTACAGTCAGAGGTGGCTGCCTCTCCCCGCTAATTTATGAGAGCCTGAGTAACCAGTTTATCTAAAAACATGACAACTTTGCCTTGAAAGAGTGGGTCCAGATGGACAGGTCACCTGCTATTAGCTCCCCAGTAATAGATCTTCATCCCCGGCAGAAGGCGATGCGAACCACGGAGTTATATTTCAAACAACATTAATAAGAAACCAGTGAGGTTTTTTTCTTTCTTTTTTTTTTTTTTTGCCTCCCACTCATATTCAGCTGTAGGCACTCGAAAAGAAGGACTGTAAAAGCCCAAAGGGTCCAGCACCACAGCCTGTCTTGTGGTAACGACATGGAGTAATTAGAGGTGAACTCCACTTCCACTCTTGTTTTTCAGATTATTACAAGCAAATCGCGGCATGAGGACTCTGGGGTAGGATGGCACTGGCAGCTGTACGCTGCTCTCATTTTACTCCTTTCTCCCGTGAAGTCCAGAGGCAGAATTCATTAGACATGAGCAAATTTTGTGTGTAAGAGGGAAAGCAGATCCGGGAGGAAATCTGAATGAGAAATGACAGCCTGGTGCAATGAGTCTGAAAAGCCACTCCACGCAGAAGGAATTGCCTGAAAGCAGGCATGGTGTGAGGAGTGGGAGAGCAACGGGAGCTGGGCGGCGAGGCTGGCGCTGGGCGCTGAGCCGAGAAGGGATGATTGCTGCCTGCTCGCTTCCCTGCTCCGCAGCCAGAAAGCCCTGGCCACAGGCAGGCTGTAGCATTGCCATAGGACATCCATTTAAAATACGTCTGAGCACCAGCTTCTAAACTGGGCGTTCAGCTCGGTCCGTCCCACCAAGTGCCGAAAGCGTGTTTCTGTAAATCACTCGTTTGCAGGGGAATGTGCTGGTGCTGACAGGGCATGGGCGTAGGAACAGCGTGGAAAGCAGCCAGCTCCTCCGGAATTCATGGAATTGTAGAATGGTTGGGTTAGAAGGGATCTTAAAGCCCATCCAGTTCCACCCCTTGCTGTGGGTTGGCTGTACTCAGCAGAACAGGTTGCTCAGGGCTCCATCCAATGTGGCCTTGAGCACCTCCAGGGTGTCTTTGTAGGTGAGGAGCTGCAGCCTGCTGAGCATCCTCGTGGCTCTCATCTGGACCCGTTCCAACAGCTCCACATCCTTCTTGTGTTGGGGGGGTCCAGACCTGGATGCCGTACTCCAGATGGGGCCTCACGAGGGCATAGCAGAGTGGGTCAATCCACCTCCTTGCCCTGCTGCCATCCCTCTGTTGGTGCACCCAAGATGCAGCTGACATAGCACAAACACACCGCTGGGTCATGTCAAGCTTCTCATCCATCAGAACCCCCAAGTCCTTCTCCTTACTGCTCTCAGTGAGTTCTTTTCCCAGCCTGTACACCCACCTTGTATTGCCCCAACCCTTGGGCAGTGCTGAGGTGTGCTGTGTGGTTGCATGGCACAGATGTAGTTTGGGGTGATTCACCAGGAGGTGAATTCAGCATGAGGAGGTGGACAACACCCCATAGATCATGTTCAAACTGTTGCACACAGATAATTCACATGGGCTCTGTGTCCCCAAAGCTGGCCTGACACCACTCTCCCCTCTCTCCAAACAGGGGCCCTCGCGGAGCTGCTGCTGGTGCTGCTGGGGCTGAAGGTGCCTGGGGCTGCCAGCTGCCCCACCGACTGCGTCTGCTACCCTTCACCCATGACCGTCAGCTGCCAGGCCCACAACTTCGTCACCATCCCCGAGGGCATCCCCGAGGACAGCGAGCGGATCTTCCTGCAGAACAACCAGATCACCCTGCTGCTGCGGGGCCACTTCAGCCCCTCCATGGTCACCCTCTGGATCTACTCCAACAACATCACCTTCATTGACCCCAACACCTTCGAGGGGTTCGTCAACCTGGAAGAGCTGGACCTGGGGGACAACCGCTACCTGAGGGCTTTGGCAGCCAACACTTTCCAAGGGCTGGTGAAACTCCATGCCTTGTACCTGTACAAGTGTGGGCTCAGCTCCCTTCCCAGTGGGATTTTTGGTGGCCTCCACAACCTACAATACCTTTACCTGCAAGACAACCACATTGAGTTCCTCCAGGACGACATTTTTGTTGACTTGGTAAACCTCAGCCATCTTTTTCTCCATGGAAACAAGCTTTGGAGCCTCCACCAGAACACGTTCCGGGGGTTAATAAACCTGGACAGGCTCCTCATCCATCAGAATCAGCTGCAGTGGATTCACAGGCGGGCGTTCCACGACCTCCGGCGACTGACCACCCTGTTCCTGTTCAACAACAGCCTCTCGGAGCTGCAGGGGGACTGCCTGGCCCACCTGGGGGCCCTCGAGTTCCTCAGGCTGAACGGAAACCCCTGGAGCTGCGACTGCAAGGCCCGCTCGCTCTGGGAATGGCTGCACCGTTTCCGGGGCTCCAGCTCCAACGTCATCTGCGAATCCCCCGAGCGGATGCACGGCAAGGACCTCAAAGTGCTGAGGACGGAAGATTTTAGGAACTGTTCGGGCTCGGAGTCGCTCCACCAGATCAAAACTTTCTCAGCTGCAGACAGAGGAGCCTCCAAAGCCCACCATCCCCACCACTCCTCCAAGGAGAAGGGTGGCGAGAAGGGTTTGCACAGCAGCCATCCTGCAGCCCGGCCGGGACCTCGCCGCCCTGCCAAGAACTGCACCAGCCACAAAAACCGCAACCGAACCCTTAAGCCGGGATCGCTGGGGCCGCGCAAAAGCGGGCACGAGTTTCCCGACTACGTGCCTGACTATCAGCACAAATTCAGCTTCGGCGTCATGCCCACCGGGCTCCCGAAACGCAAAGGGAAGTGCACCCGGCGGACGCCCATCCGTGCGCCCAGTGGGGTGCAGCAGGCGGCGGGTGGCTGTGCAGGACTCGTGGCCTCGCGCCTGGCCTTTGTGCTGGTCTTGGTGGCCATCATGCGCTGAGCTCGGCCACGGCGGAGCGGATCTGCACTGCGACCCGTCTACGAAGGACCAGAGTTTCTTTTCTTCTTCTTTTTTTGTACGTGGAGAAGTCTGCGGGCGCGGACTGCGGCGGGCGGGCGGATGGAAAGGTGTTAGCACGCATTGCGGCCAACAGCCGAGCCCTGCACCACGAGACAAAGCCAACCTTACCCAACCGGATCGTGGGGACCGCCGGCGACGACGGCCGGACAAAATGGAAAATTGCAAATTCCCGTTGAGCGACCCCGCCGAGGACCGCAAGGAACATAATTGCTGTAAAAACGATCACCAATTAAGCCTACACTGTTTCTCTGAAAGTGAGTGTGTGGACACTTCTACTCGTTGTATTAAGGACATTGGTTCTCCCACGTTTTAGCCCTTTTGGCTCCAACCCCACAGGCCAACGTTGGCTGGAAATCTCTTAGAAGACAATCTCAAAACCCTGAATATCTCAGGCACTACAGCAGAACAAGGCTTGCCTGCTGGGCTTGGAGTAGCCAACTACCAAAGGAAAGACTGGTTAGAGGTGGAATAATTAAAACAAAGCAAAGCAAAACAAAAACACACACACACACAAAAAAAAAGAACCTAAGGAGATGAAGTACCCGCGAGGAGGTGCGTTTTTTGTAACCGCGTTCACACATCCAACAAACAAATCCGACAAATGCACAGGCCCTCCCCTCTCCTCAATTATCCATATGTATGTCTTATAATGTTTATAAACTATATGGAAACTATATCTTCAGAACTAAGGATTGTATTGTCGAATTTATAGCAGAACAGCATATCCTTTTCTCAAGACCACAATCGGCAGCAGTGCCTACAAATGCTGAAAGCCATCCGGCAGCCTCGGTGCGCGCGGGGGACCAATGTTCTTAGCAATTTAGAGCACTAAACTTTGGGAGGGGTGGGAGGGGGCTGTACGCAACGCAACAAAGACCATAGGCAGAGAGCCAGAGCTCACCCTTATGTCCTAATTTCTGAGCGAGGGGAGAGAGAGGCGGCTTGGCAGCGTCTGGTCCCGATGCCACGGGGATGTAGGGGCTGAAGGCTTCCAGCCACATTGGTTACGTGAGGACCTTTATAGCTGGACTAAGGTTTTCACTCAAGCAGCAGGTCTGTGGGATGCAGGCGGCCCTGACAATATCAGGAGCGGTTTGGTTTGTGTTTTTTCTTTTCTTAATAGGAACGGGTTTTGGCACGGGGAGTTGGAGAAGTGAGAAGTGCAGCATGCACGGGACCTGTCAGCAGCACTGTGCCCAGTGCTTCTGGTCCACGGTGGGAAAGAGAATAGCCCCAGACAGCTGCAGGAAGAGGTAATGGCCAGCTGAGGGATGAGGAGCAGACTGCACGTTCCCCTTGGCCCTAAATAAGCCTCACCAAGGACGCTGGGGTGGGATGTGCTCACTGGGCTTTATGCACTCACTGGTCCAGATGTGCTCACCGGTCCGCTCTGCGTCGGGGCCACAGCGCAGCTGGCAGCAGCACGCAGCGCAGCCCATGGTGCTGCCCCAGTTCTGCAGTCGGTGTCAGTTCCCTGTCAGCGTGGATATTGGAGATAAAACACACTGAGGTTAATGCAACAAGGGAAATAAAAGTGATCTTGGATGAGAACTGGCTGCTCTTCATTTCGTGATGGTATCCCAGCTCAGGGGGCACACTCCCAGCATGCAGTCCCTGGGCACGAATACTGTTCTTTGGGGCAGATGCTGTGTGGCTGAGCCCACACCACCCTCCCTGGGACCTCAAACTGGACGGGGAGGGGGCAATTACACCTGGTCCCCTGGAGGGGTCTGGAGTTGCCCGGGAAAGCTGCAAAACCAAAGGTTGACAGGCACCAAATTGTAAAAGAGGTCCTGGGAAACAGCAGGAGGGATTCAGGGAAGAGGAAGGGAGGGTTTGCTCCATTGATCCCTCTCAGTTCCAGCTCCTATCCAAACTTCTCCTTCTACAGGGCTCTAAACCTCCACTAAAGGGATGTCCAATGCAGCCAGAACAAATAATCCGTGATCCGAAATAGCTCCCTCACGCCCTACTCTCTATAACCAATAGCAACTGAATGAGTCTGGCACTGTCCCTTAGAAGTGGAGAATGTTGTTATGTCAGTTATTTTGCTTCGTACTCTGGAAATCAAAGCTCTCAGTGGGAGAATGAAGAGGAGAAGCACTTTATTAATTTTTTTTTTTTTTTTTTTTTAAGTCTGTGTGTAACTCCTACAATATAAGAGTGAGATGTCAGCATTGGAGATGCTAATGTTTTATAAATGATTTGGGTGCAGCAGGCAAAATGGAGCCTCTCTGAGATGAATTATATTAGAACCGCCTGGCTCCAAGTCGTAATTGTATTTTTAGTATCTTCCTTTAACATGTAGGAAAAATAAAGGCAACCCCAACGTGTATTACGAGCCTTGTCAATCAGGTGCTCTAACTCCTAGCAATAAAGGCTACTGCTTAAAAACCAGAAGGGAGACATGATGCACTGCTAAATAGGAAGTGTCACTTGACACAGACTTCAGGTTTCTGATGTTCCTCCTGCCTTCCCCCGACCTCCATCCCCCCTGTGCCCATTCTTCCTCTACAACCACAGCTCTCTGAGGATAAACTAAATCTTTCTGGCACGCTCTGACACTTCTCCTCAATAACTACCTTCCCATCTGCATGGTGCAGCTCTGCTGCGGCCCCTGGTTGGCTCCCGTGTGGTTCTCACAATCTCTTCGTGCAGTGTTGTCTTCATGCACTGTGAAGGCTGATGTGAGGCTGGCAGAAATCCCATCTTCTCACAGGCAGTGCACCCACAACCCCAAAGAATACATCTCAAGGCATCCATCCCAAAGAACGCATCCCAAGGTGCCCATCCCAACACGCGTGTCCCAAAGCATGCCTCCCAAAGTGCTCATCCCAAAGCACCCATCCCATAGTATGCATCCCAAAGCACCTATTTCAAAGCATGCACCCCAAAGCATGCATCCCAAAGTGCCCATTTCCAAATGCATGTCCAAAAATTCCCATCCCAAAGTGCTCATCCCCTCAGTTCAGTAGAGGCAGGGATGACCAGAGCTGGGCTAGAGATGACAAGAGGAGGTGGCACTCCAAAGAGGTTAGAAAAGAGAAGGCTCTACCAGTGTGCCTGCTTTTATTTGTTTGCATCACTAAGCTGCAACACTCTCACTTTGGGCTGTTCATGCAAATCCTTCCCATATAAAAAAAAAAATAAATGAAAGAGAACCCAGAAGAGACCCCACACTGTGCCTCTGGAAACGCGCTCACGGCCGCAGAATCCCGTTTCCTGAGTCGGAGCCAATTTTCTCACCATTGTAGCATTCTTCCACAGTTTCATCCTGTAATTGCTAATACACAGCTTTTCCTACATGCTTTGGAAACACAAAACACACAACGCTGTGTCTCTCATCCTCCAGGCAGGACAAAAACCAAGACCTTCTCAGATATTGAGAATAAATGTTCAGTGCACCAGGCGAAAGCAGCATCACATGGCACGTTCTCCATCGCTGCCTGGACAACGCTGTGCACCCACGTCGTCTTTTCCAATTTACCTCCCTTGCCTCAGCAAGTTGCTGTGAGATGCACTCCCCACTTCACAAGGACTGCAGAACTAACACATTGTTTCACATTTCTCCTTAGCCAAAGTGATGGACCGATGGACCAATTTCTGATGTCCATCAAGTGCAGCCTCCCCTAAATCCACCCAGCACCAATGCTTTCCATCACATTTTGCCTTAGTTTCCAGCACAACCCCACAAACTCAGCCCAAGATCACACTTTGCATTGCATGCTTGCGAACATCTCCTTTTTCTGCTGCTTACAATCTCCTTGAGATCTCGTGGGATGACATTATTCCTCTTTGCCATCCCTTGCATCTCGCCCCAGTAAAACACGACTTGGCCAACACCAGCGTACAGATGGGAACAGCGATGGGAAACATGCTTGCATGGCTTGCCATGTTGAGGTCTGCAGGCTGGAAGAGAAACAACAGCAAACACAACAAAAGGACACATGGCCACAGCAGTGACAAAAGTTGTTTCTGGGAAGGTGGTGTGATGGCATCGCTGAGAGCCCAACCACCTCCATCCGCACGTAGAGGACGCACCATGAGCACCATGCTATGCACGTTCATCCATCTGTCCTTCTGCATGCTCTGTCCTCCTCCCAGGGCAGAAGGACTTTTTGTCTCTGGGTCCACCTCGATAGCTCTGGGGCTGGAGGGCCAAAGCCAGCTCTGTGCATCCAAACAACATAAATAAATTCATTTTCCCCCCATCCGGTGGATACGGGTGAAATTCTGCCCACATCCATCTGCTCTACAACAAGTCTTTATTTCTCCGTGGTTCATTCCCTGTTTCATCTGCTCAGCTTGAGTCCTTTCCTGCAGTGCCCTCCATCCTCTTCCTCCTTTCTGCAAACAGAATCAAAATAACTGTTTAACAAATCAGCCATTACCTTCTCCCATGTCACCAATTCCCCGCTATCATGGCGTAATTGACCAATTTTCTCTTTTACCTTCTCTCTGCTCTGGATACGTCTCGGGAAGCTCTGATTGTGTGTTAAAATATCCTCTCTAATTCACTGCTCAATATCTCTTTCTGCTCTTCTAATTGCCCTTTTAACTCGCTTCTAATTTTTTATAAATCTCCTAATCCTCTTCCTGCGCAGGTTGTTTACATGCACCGTAGAATGTATATGTATTAGCAGATGTTCCTGGGTAAATAATGCACAAAAGGATATTACTGCTTCACACAGGCTGCAATTACTGCCTTCCTTCTGAATAAGCCCTGGTTAACCCTCCTGTTTAGGGTGCACACCCCTGCTCGCAATGCTCATCTCCCAGCTATTCCATTTCTCCTCTCCATTTGCTCGCAGCGCTCACCACACCCCATCCGACACAGCATTACCTGCCAGAGGCTCTGATTTCTGTGTTTTCCACTTGAACAAACGGAGCTAAACGGCAGGTTTAGAGCCATGCATCCT